AATAAGTATTTACACCGCACTGCTTTCCGATCACAGAACTACGGAACTCAGCTTAAAGGGCAATCCCGGTTACATATATATTGTGCAGGATATTTAAGTAAATGTTCTTAAAAATCTCTCTATTGGACTTGACCATGGACTATTATTACAAAAACTATCAAAGTATGACTTTACCCCAATTGCGTTTCCTTTCTCCATATGTATTTGTGTGTCTGTAAATTATTAGTAGACACACACAATACCTGGTATATAGAAATGCATGTTATTTGTGGGGTGTCCCAAGGATCCGACCTTGGTCCATTTTTGTTAATCATATTTATAAATGAAACCTGTCTTAATTTGAAGCACTACCTATCTACCTACCAACTGTGTTCTAATAATCTTAAAGTATACTATTCAAGAGTAGACTACTTTAATGATAGTAAAAAAATTAGAGTAACCATAGTGAAATTTCTTTCTCTTAATATTAACAAATGAAAGTTACTTTTCTTTCAATAGTAAATTTCACTATATTATAAAAATACCCTAGCTTTAAAGATTTAGTTGTTGAATTTGATAGCAAACTTACATTTGTCTATTATCTTATAAATCTTTAGGATACACGTATACTACTATTTGTAGTGTCTAGCCATCCTGTGCCGAAGGAAAAACTTTTAAATAAATTACTGACGATCAGAGCTCAACAAAAAGGTCTCGAATGGAATTATCCAGGAAAACCGATGTAAAAAATACAAACAAGGATAAATTGAAGTGTTGCAACCCCTACAACTATGTAATAAGGCTGAGGTGTTGTACAAAATGCATAAGAAGAGAGTGGATTTTATTTTGGTTGACCACTGTCGCTTTTCTTGAATTTCAACCTGGCGTGAATACTCTGAAATTCATGTAATGGAAAAATTACTGTTAAATAATCGAATAAGGGTTATTTTTTAAAATATTGCTATCTCGCTCATTAAAAATAAATGTACCTACTGTATTGAAATTTAAAGCTTGCTTATAAAATATGCAGAAGCTAACAAAGCAATATTTTTAGGTAACAAATAAATGGTATAATCCGACATTTTTAAAAGTAACAAATATTAGCGTCAACCTTACACATTTGTTTTTAATGTAAATTTAATTACTATTAATAAATCTTTATTTATCGCTAATAAACACTGGCCGACAAGATTTTTGTAATACAGTTCAGACTTTCATTTTTAAAATAGAAATACCATTCTAATAATAAAAAAAATATTAGTAAAGCACTAACAGGTACCACTTTTCAATAGCTTAATAAGACCATTTTAAATTAGCTGGTAGTCAGGCTTATGAGGGGGCGGTTAAAATGGATGCATTTCACAACAGAAAATTTACCTAAACTCTATTGTTTACTATATTAGACATAAAGCAACATTAAACATCAGTCTTCTGTTGAGTTTCGAAGCAAGTGGTTCTCTGTGTATAGATAATAAAGTGTTTTTATGGACGAAAATGAGTCAAACGCGTCGCAGTTGCAAAATTTCTCCTGGCAAATTTTGTTTTATTTGTGGAGAATTTATGATGAAATCACAAGCCAGGCCATTTTCTGAAAATGTAAAAAGTCTACTTCAGATATTCTGGTGTTTTAATTGGAGATCAAGACAAGCAGTGGGCTTCCCATATGTGCTGTGTTAGTTGTAGCGTGTCGTTGGTGCAGTAGACGAAAAGGAAGGCAAAAATCATGCCTTTGCAGTTCCAATGGAATGGCGAGAACCTACTAATCATTTTGACGATTGCTATTTCTGCCTGACAAATACTGAAAGTTATTCCAAAAAGGAAAAGCACAAGATCGACTATCCAAATTTGCCATACGACCTATTCCTTATAATGCAGATTTACCAGTTCCGATTGCGCCTATAGATCCGCAGAGTATTGTTTTGGACGATACTGGAGACAACACATCATCAGGCAGTTCCGAGGAACAGTGTACGGACCATATTTTTACTGCAGGTCCCACTTCCGGCGAGCCACATTTGATTGTTCAAAGTTATTTAAACGATTTATTACGCGATTTGGGGCTATCAATGCAACAGTCAGATCTTCTTGGTTCCCGTCTTAAGGAATGGAACTTGTTAGCCAAAGAAACAAAAATTACGACTTTCAGGAAAGGCAATGCTATGTTTTCTGCATTTTACAGTATGGAAAATTCGTTGTGTGCGTGTACTGATATCGATGGTTTAATGCAGGAGCTTGATATTGAGCATTTTCCCAGTGAGTGGCGCTTATTTATAGACTCGTCTAAATACAGTTTAAAAACTGTGTTATTGCACAACGAAAATTTAAAACCCTCTATACCAGTTGCTCATTTAGTAATGATAAAAGAAACTTATGAAAATATGCGCACGCTTTTTAACCGACTTCAAAATGGGCGGAGGTTCTCAATTCATAGCAATATTTTTTTTTTATTTTTTTTATGTTCAGCGATAATTCTTTAACGCGGTGTCTGATTTTCATGATTCTTTTTTTGTTAAAAAGGGGGACTTCAGGGGTGGTCCCATATAAATTTGGTCAAAATCTAATAATTGTTTCAATGAGAAAATTCTCAAACTCTTCATTTTTTATGTATGTTTAGCGATAACAATTTACCACCTTGTCCGATTTATATGATTCTTTTTTTGTTAGTAAGGGGGTCCCATACAAATTTTGTTAAGATGTGGTGATGGCATCTGCACGTTTTTAAAGTCGGTTTTTTTTAATTTTTTATGTCTAATACTTGTGGATAAAATAAACTACAACAGGTGTAAATGGCAGATATGTGGAGACTTAAAAGTTATAGGAATTGTAGTGGGACTTCAGGGAGGATTTACAAAATGATGCTGTTTTCTTTGTTTATGGGACAGTCGTGCAGTAAATCAGCAATGTGTAACAAAAATTTGGCCAGAAAGAAGTGAGTTTTAACCGGGATCTTAAAATTTTTAAGTTTAGACCTCTTGTAGACCCCAAAAAATGTCCTTTTGCCTCTTCTTCACATTAAACTTGGGCTAATAAAAAAACTTTGTGAAGGCTATGAATAAAGACGGTGATGAATTTAAATATCTAAGACAAGTCTTTCCTAACTTAAGTGATGCCAAATTAAAGGAAGGCATTTCTATTGGGCCACAAATCAGAAATTTGCTGGACGATGTTAATTTTACAGAGAAGCTTACCAGGCAGGAACTTAGAGCATGGAACTCATTTGTTAGTGTAGTAAGAGGATTTTTGGGCAACAATAGATAAAAGTTCTATTTTCGCATAAAGCTCATTTAACCGTTATATTTTTTAGTAAGTCGATCCAATAAGTAGTTAGGTTATGTTTATCACTCAAACGTCATAAATTCCTTTAACTCATAACTCATCGTAATTTTACACGACAATACCGTTGTAAATGTAAATTAACAATCATCGATAACCCGATATATACCGCTCCGAAGCCATTGCTCAAAGTTCCTGCCCATTGTACTTGCCGTAATTAACGCTCCCGAACATCAGAATAATCGCATTACCCGATAAACATCGTAGTGTAACAATTGAATAACAAAATGCGCCGCAGCCAACTTGTGGGAATTGCCAATCGATGGAAACTAATTGCTCAGATTGTATTCGAGGTGCATCCGGAGATCTGCACCGAGGCATCAGTGATTAGTGCGACGTTGTCGTTCGTCTCCCGAGTGATGTGGCGTCGCCGCGTGTCAACCGACATTGCATAATTAGATTGGCTTCTGTCTGACGGAATGTACTCGCGATAGATATCATTAGGACAATTAGGGGAATCTCCACGGATTGCTGGATGGCTGTCCTCTCTCTCACTTGGTCGATCTTAGGGAAATCTTTTAATTTATGACGTTTATACTGGATGTTATGTTATTATACACAGGCTTAAAGTTTTTTCAGACAATCCTGATAATAATATTGTAACCCCTCCTGGGGGTTGTTCGGGTAGCAGGTAGATTTTAAACACTCGGAGACAGAGTTCTTTGGAAATAAAACTTTACTCTAACAATTTATATATAGACAACAATATTTACAATATGTACAATGAAAAGGTCCTAACTAAATTTCGAATCGTCGTGTCTTCAAATTTTGTTTCCCCAAAATAGATTTTGTGTGTCGGTTCGGCGTGGCTCGGTGGTCCAGGATGGCGTGGCAAAAACGTGACAAGAGCTTAGGTTATGTTTACGGTAATGGAAGTCCCTCGAAGTCAATACCTTCGTGGGAGAGATCCACGGGAAAGGAAAACCTACAAAGTCAATACCTTTGCAGGCAGGGGTTGGGACGTCGGGAAGCCCACAGAGTCAGTACCTCTGCAGGAGCAGGAGAGGAGAGTCTTACTAAGTCAGTACCTTAGTTCGACTGACGAAATTTTTGAAACTAAAAAAAAAACCTAAATAAAATCTTCCCATAACTCTTCCTTTAGTTGTGCCCAAAACTAAAAAAAAATCTTTCATAATTCTTCTTAAAACAATTCTTCCATAATTCTTCTTAAAAAAAATTTAAACTTATAAATTATTTAAATGGCTGGTGGACCCTCCTTCTCTGCCTTTTATTCGGATTACCTTTCCCTCTTCTAAGTGCAGCCGGTACTTTTTGCCTTTGAAATCTGGCGGTAAAAGCTTTTTTAATGGTATGGAGACCTTTATACTTGGCTGCAATTGTGAGATGCCCATGTTGGATGCACTAACCTGTGGCGGCGGCTCCTCGAACAGTCTTTTAAATTTGGCTATCGTGCTTAAAATTATCTCACTGTTTTTTCCTGGCGTAAGTGGTAAGCGTCGTGGCAGTTGTGTTGGTGACAAGTATTGTTGTGGTGGTGTCGAAGGCAAGCGTCGTTGCGGTGGTGTTGGTGGCAGCGGTGACAGTAATTTTGTAGGCTGCCATTCTTTTTCTGACTGTTCCAATTCGCTGTCAGAACTGGAAAGGAAACTCATGTCTTCGTTTAATATTAAAACGTCTTCTTGGGACATCTTCTTGATACTGCTATTTTTAATGTTTTATTTATCACTCTAAGGTATTGTGATAGCTGAGACGGTAAGGAATGTGGTTTTTATGGTAAGGATGGATTGACATAGGCGGGTTTGAGGTCTTTGTTTAACCGGTGTATTGTGTTTTAGTTTAATTTTGTGTTTGATAAGTGGCGTAACTCCTTTGATTTGCTTAAACTTCTCAAGTTCTACTCGTAACAGGTTTTGGAGTTCTTGTTTTTCGGTTTGGCTTAGCGATAAATTAATGTCTATCGAAGAAATTTCTGGGTATTCTGGAGCAAAGGTCGGAATTTCTTCGATGTTAGAAGCGGTTGGTATTTGATCGGTGAGGCGGTCAGGTAAGGATGCCGGTTCTTCTACTGTCTTGCACTTATTTAGAATGCTGGTTAAATCCAGTCCCCATTTCATTATTTCTTGAGTTCCTATGATCGCTTCTGATGGTTGTTTTGGAAGAAAATGCAATTCTGTTTTTAACCATTTGTCGTCTATGGAACATTCTGTCATGTACGTGTGTTGAATGGTGTTGGAACTGCCATCTCCTAGAGTGATTTTCATGTTTTTATGAAAGTTGGGCGATCTGCATTCTTCTGCTATCTTTTTTCCTTTTTCTCATATAAATGAGAATTGTGCTCCGGTATCCACTAAAGCTGTTAGAGTTTTTCCATTTTTGAACTTAAGTGTGACGTGCGGTCGTATGTCTGTTGTTAGCAAGTTGTTAAGGAGGTCACTGAATTGCCTTCCATGAACCCAGTCGTCCTCTGGTTTTCCGACTGTAGTCGGCATGTGCAGTTCTTTGATAGTATGCCTAGTGTCCCACAGTGGCTGCAGAAGAGGACGGGGCTAGACCTACAATTCATTCGGTTGTGTCCTCTCCGGCTGCACTTCCAGCAACATGTCTTTCTGTCAAAATTTTCTATTATGTTTGCGAAGATGTTTATGGGGTTTATTTGTCGTCTGTTCGAGAAACTGTGTGAATCGTCCTTGAGCATAATGTTTTTGATTTCATCGTATTCCTCGGCCTGTTTGATAAGTTCTCGGATTGACGATACGTCTCGTCTTTTTATGTATAACTTGTATTCTGGTCTCATATTGGTATATATTCTGTCCAGTTCCTCTTGGAAGTCGAAATTGTTGTGCCAGTATGCTCGCTGATGAAGCCCACATTAATAAGTCGACCAAAATTTTTTTTAAAGTAAGGTGTGCAGATATTGATAGTCTTAAAGATGATTTTTCTTTAAATCACAATAATGTTCTTGCCACATTGTTTGCTATCCCTGCAGACGCTGAAGGGAAGATACAATTAAAGAGACGTTTTTGAAGAATATTATAAAATTAAAGCATTATTTTCGGAATTATTTGATACTGATACTCAACCGATTAATGCTACTCAAAATACTGCTTTACATAATTCTACAATTTTTAATATAGATATAAATTCTTCTGATATCTAGCAGTATCATAATACACATAAAGATATACAAAATAATATTTTAAATAAATACATTTTAACATCGCCCCAAATATAATCCCACCGTCTTGCAGGACAGAAAAACCAAACAAAAATAACATCTTTAATTTCACGCTCTCCTCCCGATACCCTTTTTTAAACATGATTGATGGCTCCCTAGGGTGCTCGGTCTAAACATAAAATGACAAACGTTTCGAGAAATGTATAAAAACTTTGTGGGCACAAAAGTTTTTTGAAAAATTATCGAGGATTGAATTTGCGGCATCGGCGTTGCCTACTAAGTCGAAAAGTTTCATCCCTTTGGGACAACATCAAGCATCAAGTAGGCAAACATCAACGCAAAGGCATAGGGAAATGGTCAGAGGACTAAAGAAACCACGGCCAACTTAGGGAGATGCGGTGTAACTTGATGTGGCTACACTGAGAAATTGCATGATCGTTTTTAAACACGTATTAATACAGTATTTTTAATAAAAATCCCATTGCACGTCACTAGTGATGTTAGTCTTTCATCATAGTACTACCAACTAATTAGAATGTCCCTTTTTAAGTAAATAATACGAAAATGTCACAAATATTCACGAACATTCATGAACGTAGTAATATTACTAAAAAACAAAAAATATTTTGGTGATTATTTTGATAATTTTATAATTACTTCAATTATTTTGCATATACACGTATTATTCTTGATAATATACAATTTCTAAAAATAATATTGTGTGTTTAGTACTCAAAAATCATAGTTTACTTTAAATAATTTTGACATTTTGTACGCTTATGACGAAATGTCATAACAGCAATTGTTATATCTCGTCGCTATGTTGCCAATGGTTTTTTAAAAAAATTAACTCAAATAGATTTTAAGTTATGTTTACAAGTTGATTTTCAAAACAAAACGTGAGTAACAACTTATTATTACTACATAAAAAATGCCAAAAAAATCTAAATAGTCTTTGTAGGAAGCTTCTAGCTTCGTTAATACAGTATTTTGAATGAGAGCTGGATAATAATGAACCACTATTACCTTCAACTGCTCTAAGTGTATGAAAAGTAAATTAACAATCATAGAAATGCGTAGAAATATGAAATTTAGTTTTTGTCTTGCTTTAGTGTGTTAAAGCGACCCAAACCTTCCTACTGTCAAGTAACAAGACGTGGACTTATGGAACTTCCTCATATTTCTGTAAAGAGTTTAACTTTTATGAAATTATTGAATTGCAGAAGAAGCATATTTATACCAGATGGTTTTCATTGATGAAAAATGTATCTTTATTTAACTTTATTTATTTGTCTTATTATGTGCCAACATTGCTTATATTTTAAATACGTCATATTGAAGATTTAATGGTAGATACGCTATTATACTACGCTATTATACCAAATATTTTAAGACAATTAAATTGGAAAAATTTTATCATTTTGGAAAACATTCGAATAGTTAATAAAAATCAACATTTTTTTACATTCTCGAGTTGTACAGAAAAAAACAAAATTGTAATTTTTGTTATTTTGCAAAAATAAACTATAAAATATTATCAAAAATTAAAAATATGACGATTTTTCGATATTATAATTTAGAACAGGTATAGCGATATTGACACATGTTATACAAAATAGCAACTATAATTGAATAAAACATTCTTAATTATAGTTATTATAGTAATTTAGCAGAACAATATGGTAATACGTCATCCTTCCTACAATTGTGCTTTTAACCCCACTGAACTTATTTTGGGTGTTTCCAAGCAATATTATAATAAAAATATTAAAGAACAAGATTCTTTAACTATGTGGTCTAATGCTCTTTAAACAATTACTCCCAAGATATGGAAAAATTCTATTAAACACACAGAAAAATAAATATTAAAATGGTATGAAAGAGAGAGAGTTTTTGATAGATTAGAAATAATTCCTAATATAATAAACCCTAAAAGTGATGACAGTAATTCAAGTACTTGCGATTTAGATTAGGATAAATGGTTTTTGTAGGAATTATGAAGATTGGTAGATGAATTGTCTTTAATAAGAAAAACATATATTTTTAATCAAAACATTGTTTAATATATGAGAGCGACGGATGAAAATAATTCAAAAGGATCTTAAAAAACAGGACTGTGCTAGGACTGATACAGTTACATCAACAGATGAAATACGCTTCAGAAAAAATTTGTATGTATGCTGCCCGAAGGATTGTGTTACCAAAACTGCCAAGGAATGTAGAAGAAGTGCATGATATATTTTCATAACTATCTTATTAAATAAATAAAATGAAGCTGTATGTAACAAAATGATGACGCCAATAATATTATAATGTTTTCTGTTTTGAAACAAATCTCCAATTTTTGTACAATGTCAGGCATATCTACGTCGATGGGACGTCCTTTCAAAAAGCGCTATTCCGAACATTATAATAGCTATACAAAAAACAAAAGTAATTCTACTTACTCAAATCATATTTTAGCTGAAAATTATTCTTTTACAGACAACTTTAAAATTTTACATATAGAAAATAAGGGCATTAAACTAAACCATTTAGAAACAATTGAAACAAATAGCTATAAAAATTCAGATAACCTACTAAATGATCAATTAGATATTAATAACTCACCTTTATTAAATCTCTTTGATAGTTTTCTGTGAGATAATCCCGGTAATGATACTATCTTATTGTTATCTGATTGACATCATAATTACTTAAGTACCCTTACTTACTTTAAATAGTCAGTTTATTTTGTTATGTTATTGATGTATTTTCTTAATTACTTTGTTTGGTTAAATTACTTCGCTTATATATTGGACACCGAATTGTAAATTAGTCATATTTGAAAAAGAAGTACTTCGAAACAAGTCATGTGTAGTGTTTTTAATTTTTATTTTTTTTTTAAATAAAAGTTTTGTGAAAATCTACCAAATTTGGTTTTACTCATTTAAGGTAATATGGATTTTCATCAAGTAAAGGCCGAAACAATAAATAATTTATTAAGATTGTTTAATAAATGGAATTAATAGTTATAACTTACCTAAACAAAGCAAAAGCAAATACATAATTTCCAGTAATTTATTAATACTACATTAGGTACGCCCCGTTATAGAGTTTTGATTTTTTGAAACAGTTTCTTGTCGCGTCTCTCTACCTTGATTTTTACAAATAGCACAAAAATAATAAAATTGACCTTACACTTTTCTCAGTGTAAATATACCGGACAAACACGAAATAATAGAAACACAACATTTACATACGTAAAATACACATAGAAATGCGAAATATTGTCTCGTTTTTGCATATGATTGTGCATGAGCGAATTCAAGTTGTTTGAACTCCGGAATTGGATGCTTTGGGAATTTCCAACGAACGTCCAAAACTCGTGATTTTATTTGCCGTCCCTTGTGTTTCTTATTTGGGAATATTTGGTTTGCATGTATCTCTTCATTTTTATGAAATATCTGGTATAAGAAACGGCCCAAGCTTCAATTTTTGACACTTCGTTGAATTCAAATCAACATAACCGAATAAAATGTTGAGAAATTCTGTAAAATTACGATGTTTTGCTTCGGATAAACACATAGTGGTCGAAAAATAGATGTTTGACGGTTTTTTTAAATGAGATGTCAAATAAATTAGTCGTGTACTTTTATTAGTAATATTTAGTACTTAAATCGTAGAAATAGTGTACACTATGCAAGTAAGAGCATATGTTCCTAGTTTAAATCTTATAATTGGTTAGATCCACCTATATCAGTTCGGTAGTGTAGTTGAAGCAAATAGTAATAAAATATTACTTGTGATGAGGGACTCTACTATCTTCCATAATATCAATATAAAATACGATTTTCAATTTAAAATAGTAAAATGCAAAAATTTTAATTTTCTACAAATTATTGTAAATTTTAATCGTCAAAATAAAATAAATGTAGTTTAAAAAAACTAAAAAACACGCTTTTAGAGCATATCAAACTAAAAAGTTAAAAATAATTTTTCAAATAAGCTTAAAACAATAATAAATGGAAAATACTAGTATTATTGTGAAAAAAGCGTCGGGCGCTCGATGTACGAGAAATATGGACAAAGCGCCCCACTCTAAAA